TTTAAAATGTAAAATAAAGATGTATCTAAGCTGTCTTAAACATTATAAGCCAAAGGTCGAAATTATTATTTGAATAGTGGTTAAATTCACCAAGTAGACTGTGCAGGATCCAAAATCTTATTAATATAAGAAATATTAGTTAAAACGCAACATTTTACGAGTGTGTTCATTCTATTGTAAAAAGCTGAATGTGTACATTGATAGTCTTCATTTATTTCATATCCCATTAGTTTATCTTGCTAAAGAATAAAATATACCCTTGTAAACAACAAAGGCCAATATTTATTTGCTTGATACCCACTCACACTCAAATAACGATTGTATGAGGATGGGGGAGGGAGACTTTCTGAGTTAAAGACCTTTGAGTCGGGTGCTAATTGAGTTGCTTTTGTTAAGTTAGTGTGATTGATTTTTTCGAATCTAAAATGAAGTTGAAAGTATGTAAAGTATGGTGGATAAGTTAGCTATGTAGTACTGGGGTACCTTTTGCTTTTCTAAACGTGGTACGGAATTGAATATGCCTTTCATCGTCCACAAATAAAGGCACTCTTTTTTTTTACAGACATTCCCCTCCCCCATCCATAGCTTATCCTCATTGTTGTAAGACGTTTTTCCAGACCCGGTATCGCCAAGATTTTGTTAAATGTTATCACAACTGGACAGTGTGGCCTAGTATGTAGTACACCCGCTAACTAAATTGATAGATCGGTACCCGACTCTGGTGACCGTAGGTCATCCCATGACCAAGCTGTCCATCACGTTCAAAACCAGGTGGCAAGATGTCGAATTTAAAACTGGAGGCAAAAACCGGACAGAAACCCTCGTGTCTAGCGTCTGTCTACGTAGCTGTGTGAAATGCTCGATTCTTGATAATGTTGCTGTTTGTTTCGCGCTAGCTATGTTCAGTTATCTAACGACACCCAAAGATTAACTGACATGCTTCCAAAATGTCAAAAACACTCATATATGTTGCACTGTACTGAGGTGTCTCTATGATACCGTTTACCTAGGAACAGGGTTCGTACTGCTTTTTGAAAATGAAATTCCAGACTTTTCCCAGACATTTTCGAGACTTTTTTGGAAAAATTCCAGACTTTAGACAGATAATGTGTTAGCGAATAATTTTTTAAAATGATGCACTATTTGTACTGTCATTATAATTACTTATACTAAATTGACATTTAATTAGGCAATTCAGCTATATTCATATTGAACTTTCTCTAACCTAATTGACAGATAATCACTTTTCTAAGTTTGCCTACTCCACTCCATCTAAAACGTTAATAATTAAAATAATTGATTAAAATGGTGCAGCTATTTTGTTTTAAACATTAGACTTGTATAATCTGTTCAAGACCTAATTGCTTATGTTTTCAATTAAACTATCATTAAAATGGTATTGCATAATAGTGAGAGTTAATTACTTTAAAGAATAATAATGTAATGTATTAATTTATGTCTGCTCTTGTTAAGTAGCCTAATATAGGCTACTTGTAAAAAAAAATGTGGAGCAAAAAAAAAAAAAAAAACCCCCGCATCATTCACTGTTTGTGCTTATAGTAATAGCTGAGAAACGGGTCTGCAATAAAAATAAAAAATTGCCGGTATCCTTCCACCCCCCCCTCCCATAGACACACATGACACGATGAAGGGGTCACTGTGAGGTCATAGTAGTCTAGACTTCAGTATACCTGTTTAATACGTCATAACATAACTGTGCTGTGACTTATACCCCCTCCCCCACCCTACTTACCAAGTAGTACCAACTACGCACTTGGGTTCACGGTGAGTTCACACAAGTAACCGATGTTACAAGGAGGGGTGGGGTAGTCAAGCTTTAATCGTCAGCATTTGCAAAGATTTCAAAAACAGTTTAATGGAAGGTAGATTCAAATTAAAGGGGTCATCCATTTATGACGTACACATGGAGGGGGGAAGGGGTCGGAAGATTTTGTGATTACATTCTAAAACAAACATAAAACGTGTATCTTGCGAGTAGAATGTAAAATTAAGACGACTGTGCTGGTGTTTTAAAAACCATCACAGCGTGTAAATAAAACATGGTATTTATATCTGCCCTAACATTATTGCAAGAGCGTGTCGTCACACTTTATATAACCCTCCTCCCGACTTTCCGGAGTGTGACGTCATTTATGGACGACTCCTAAATACAAATAGTACCTCTTTGGTAAGCGACCGGCTAAAGCAAACAGAAATACGGGTATGAACCCAAGGAGGCCTTGAGACTTATTAATCTTATAAATGCTAATATTAATCCAAAGTAAGTGGACGCGTGTGGACGCGTGTGGACGGGGGGGGGGGGGGGGGGGGGGGGGGGGCAGACTTTTTTCTCAGGGGGTGCACTTGAAATTTTCAGGGGGGGGGGGGGGGGTGTCTAAAATCCGAAAAATTGTTGTAAGTTATAAATGGATGACGCCTTACAGACTGATAAATTATATCTAAACTACCACTCACACATCTCTCCCAAAACTTTTTGTTATGACTGCCTGCATGCAAACTCAAACGATGAAAAAATAGCGGGTAAAATCGAGAGCCTAACAATTCTGGGGCGATCATTCTTTCATTAAATGACAATTGTAAGCACTTGTAGGCCTAACACATTCACACGGTCAGTGGCGCCACAAAATATCTCTTCCCTCCCTTCCCCTCTTCTCCCAATGACGTAGTAACTGAGCATCCGTTTTTTTTTTTCTGCGAACCAGCGAAAAACGGCACAACACTGTGTGAACCAGCGCAATAGCGCGGGGAAAAAAATTGAAGTAATTCACTTAAAAATCGCAATTTTTTAATTTGGAAAATATGGACTAAAAATATGTTTCTAAAACTAGATTCCAGACTTTTTCCAGACTTTTAAAAAATACAGCCCAAAAACTAGCGATTTTCCAGACTTTTTTAAGTCTTAAATTCACTTTTCTAAATTCAAGACTTTTTCCAGACTTTCCAGACTGCGTACGAACCCTGTAGGAATTAGGAATGTTTATTCTTTTTTACTCAGCCAGTTTCTTTTATTTTTACTATTACTATGACGTTTGATTTAAATGATAGAATATATCCAGTGGTATATTTTTATTTAAATGCTTTTTAATAAACCACTTTTTAGTTAAATAATTTATTAATATCTTGGTAGAGATACTCATTTTTAAAAAAAAATGCATTTAAAAATACTTATTTGAAAATTTTATAATTGTGCGCCTACGCAGAGTTATTTCCCTTTCGCCTTTTTTCTACACTATCGACGTGACCACTTTTTGCTTTCATTTTCCATAGGCTTGGTTGTCCCCGCAATATTTACACTAAAACCGTCATATCTAGAGAACCGTTTATCCTATAAACATAAATTTGGTATCATTTTGCAACATTTAGTCCCCTTAATACAACCCCGTCGTTATTTTGTCATTTTAATTATTTTTTAAAAATGTGTGCAACTAGCTACTTTAGAGACTTGATAGTTCAGAAAAAGAAAAAAAAAACATTTTGCTAATTAATAAACAAGTTAGTCAAACAAGTTTTTATAGTTTACTAGGCATACTGCCTAGCTTCGCTTAGGTTTTCAAAAACATTTGAGAATTTGAATACTTAATTATTTAGTGACGGCTGAGGTGTGGAGTACTTAAATTTAAACAGTAATGCTAATTTTAGAGAACATGTTGTTGTATGTTGTTTAACATCCATTTTCGGAGAAAAATTTGAAAGTACGCAATGTATGACTAAAATGGAATTAGAACTACAGAGGTTTTATGAACAGTATATCTCATAATTTATATTAAATTGACTTTTAAAATTAATTTTTTTATTTACTTAGGATACGTAGCTTAATTAATAACTTAATTTTTTACCAAAGCAAATGCTATACTTTGTCGTTTTCTGTTTCTGTTTAAAATAGTATACAATTATTTGAAAAAAAATTATTTAAAAACCTTACCTCCCTTGAAAATGGACCTATGATGTATGTCTTTGTTTACTTTTTTTTTAATAAACAGTTGCTATGCTTATATAAGAAAATACGATATATGAACATATTTAACGACTACAATGGCTTTTTCCGACGAGAATAAAGTTTTTTTGTTATCCTCCAGGGTCGGTCTACGACCTCAAATAATATTAAGGGGATCGTTCGTCAATTTATTTATATATATCTCATATAAGGAGAATTTCACTCGCGGTCATCTTTTAGCCCTGGTCGAGGGCTTTGAGTCTGACCAACAGTTTTTCCTTACGGCCTAGTCATCTAAAGAAGTGAATGCAAAACACTAGCATGATGTACAGAGGTTAAGTAACCTAAATACTGTGTTGAAAATTCACTGTTTTTCCCATAAAATACAAAGATTATATAGGGAGATACGACTGGTCAGTTTTGACCTATTTCCAGATTTTTGTGACACCCCAAGGCATTCTCCTACCACCTCACAAAATTTCAAGGAGGGTCGTAATAGAGCTCATTTAAAGAGAATTTCACTGGCGGTCACTTTTTAGCCCTCGTCGAGGGCTTTTAGAGAAACCGACAGGTCAGCCCTACGGCCAAGCCATTTACCTATAAGCATGCCAAAAATTAGCCAGATGTAAAGAGGGTAAGTGCCCTAAAATCTGTTTTCAAATTACCCTCTGTTTTTCCCATAAAATACGATGATTATATAGGGAAATACAACTGGTCAGTTTTGACCCATTTACGAAGTTTTCCCAGATATGCAGAGTTTTTTGCGACGCCCCAAGGCGTTCTCCTACCAACTCACAAAATTTCAAGGGGGGTCGTCCGAGGAAGTATTTTTCCATAATATAGCCCATATAAGGTGCCGGTTGGTCGAGGTCAGTTTTGACCCCCTCTCCGTAGACTTTTCGGCGAACCGTCACCGGCCCTCGTGTTCTATCGCCCCAAGGCACAATCGTGCCAGATTTGACGCGCATGCGGCGCCGGAAAGTGCCCTATCGGGCAATTGACCACTTTGCTTTATATATATATAGAGATTTTAACTGATTCTTAC